AAAAAGTAAAGATCTCTGCTCTTTAAATTTTTGAATTATACTTTATAGCCTATCAAAGTACATAGTTACTGGCTCAATCTAATAAAAAACAAAACAATGTAATTATCAGTATTGGTGCCTTATTAGGGAGCACCATAGTTTCATTCATTAAAAAAAATATAATAAGCAATTGTATTTTCAGCAAATTGTGAACACCACTTAGATCCACAAAACATTCTCTGAAAAACCCATCGGGAGGTATGTGTCCCTTTTATACAGTTCTACTTCCTCTTGCGCCTCATTTTACTGTACAATGATTTAACCTGGCATAAATTCGGTACGGTTTACATTGTTCATCACAAGTCTTTTTTTTTTCTTTTTTATTTTGAAATGATGCCAATTTTATCCTTTCTAAATACAAACAGTATAATTTCTGATTTAATTAAAAATGCAGTTTGAGCTTGCACCTGAAGTCAAACCGTAGACATCAGACCTCACACATAACGCCTTTTTGTTATCTGTCCAATTTATTTTGTTTGACACAACGCTACAGTATCACTTTCAAAAAAGGCATTATTGGAACAATATTTCAATTTATAATTTGATAATACAATGATTATTTCCAGCCACTAATAAAAGTGATGATCCATGTACTACACGTTTATAGTATTCTGTCCAACCATCCTATACAGTGTTGTTCTAAAGTTATCAAAATAACATCTGAATTAGAAAAAAACTTGAAAGTATTCCTTTGTTGTGTCTTATTTAGTCAAATATACTTCAAGGAACTTGCAGGCTATGCAATTAATTGTCATGTATTATTGAGATTTAAATGGCTTAAGGTTTAAGATTTTACGAAATCCTGGCTTAAACAATTGCACCCCATAAATCACTTCCAGACATTTGGCGTGGAAATGGTTATGGTACATGTATATAAATTGCTATGCATGCACATGTATCTTACTTTGCAAAATAGTGTCCATAACCGTGATGTTAATTACATTCTATTCTACAATTACTGCCAAGATCAAAGAAATGCTGCTTGCATTATTCTCCACTTAATTAATCACGAACGTCTTCAAAAAAAAATTATCAGATCAGAAACGCCACTTGCATGGCCAGAAAAGCTGATCTTTGTGTGGAAGCATCCTTGGGTAGTGTGGATTGTTTTAATTCTTAAGATCACTACTCCAGGTAGTAGGGCAAGGTCACAATAAGGAATCCAAATTTTGCATTGAAATAGCTGGAAAAAAATCTCAAGAAACTTATGTGGAAGCATCCTAAGGGTAGTGTAGATTACAAATTGTAAATATATGACCCCCAGCGGTGAACGGAACCACAATAGGGAATCCGAATTTTGCATTAAATTATATATTCAGAAAATCTTTTAAATCTTTTAAAAACTTCTCAAGAACCATTCGGCCAGAAATGCTAAAACTTGTGTGAAAAATTAGTGTAGATTCTAAATTGTTAAACTCATGACCCTGGTGGTAGAATGGAGTCAAAATAGGTATTACGCGGGGGAAAGTCTGATGACGAACAGCAGGCCCAAAGTTACTTAGCTTATCGTTGTAGCTTATGTGCCTCTTGTTTTCAGTTGTAAATGATATTTCTCTCTTTGAAGACATGTGGAAGTTGTTGCCGATTTTTTAAAGTTTTTTTTATTACTGATAAAATAGAAAATATCTTTTATAATGATGGCCTTTGTAAAAAGACTGGAGCATGAATACAAACCAAAAATAACGTATTTAATGCGATGATGTAGCATATCGCTCTACAGATAAGTCCGTCGGAAGACCACTTTTTCCCTAGCAACAAGAAACGCATCTAATTATTATGTCGCCCCGAACGAAGTCAGGCGACATATTGCTATTGTACACCTAAAAAGCTTGTCCGGGGATTTTCTCGCAGATGGCTGGGACAGTCTTCCCGAAACTTTCCAAAAAAGAGGATCGCTAGTTGTACTTGTGCAGTGCAGACTTTCAGTGTCAAAATGGCTACCGTTGCCACGGAAACTTGCGAAAAGTGAGGAATTTTGTCCGGGAGTGTTCTCTCTGGTCCCTTGAACATTCATTATGAAATTTATAGAAATGATGATCATTAATTGTACTTGTGTGATTCTCATTTAAAATTTTCAAATTGTCAATTGTTGCCATGGAAACAGAGGAAAAATGAAAATTCTCTCAGTAACTGCTCAGGTAATCATTTTGAAACTTTAATGGATGATTCCTTGCATTGTGTCAAAGTGATTTCTTTTTTATAAAAAAAAAATGGAATTGGCCGCACACAGTTACCATAGAAACAAAACAGGAAAAAAGTATTATGCTCACATAGGTGGCTTGGACTATCTTGATGAAACTTTACAGAAATGAAATTATAATTAGAAACTCTAGGTGTACAAACAACATTCAAATTTTTCTAAATTCTTACTGTTGCCATGGAAACGGACGAAAAGTGAAAATTCTTTAAATTCTGTTTTTCTCAGTAACTACGCAAGCAATATTTTGGAAACTTTAAAGGTTTATTCCTTCTATTGGATCAAATTGTTTTCCGCAAAAAAAAAAAAAAAAATTGGAGCAGGTCCATCGCTTCAGCCACCGGCACGAAGTCGTATTTGGTTTACCTTAGTTTTGTACACGAGCGTTCTCATAATAGCTGGCTTTCAAAATCTTCATGAAACTACAGAAATAATAATCACCAACCTAGTTGTGCATGGGATATTTTATTTTTTCAAAGTTTGTTGCTGACACCAGGTAAGGAACAATGATTTAAGAAAAGTCGCGGTCACGTGACCATTATATGCTAATAGAAGTTTCTTTTAATCAAAGAACTGAAAGGATTGATACGAGTTGATGATTTTTCCAAGCTTAGCTAATGGGTATTTCTTTAGTGATGAAGAAACAGAAATTTAAATTTCCATTTGATTTCTGAAGTCAATTTCATGACATGATGCAATGTGTTTTAACATCCAATTAACAGATAATACTTTATGAAATTATAAGAAAACGATATTTCTTTCTTTTTACAGTATAATTATACAAGTTATACATTTTTTGAGCATTGCTACCTTATTTTAAGAAATGAAATGAACTTGCACAACTATCATAAAATATATTAAAACCACAATTTTTGACATTCCTTATAGTGTATGCAGCAAGCACGTTTTTGATAAGTGTCGTTTTTCTCTAATAATTTTTTTTCCTGAGTAATGTTTTATTTTCACATGCAGTTTTCAAATAAAATTCTGTTTATTAGTAAATGTAAAGTCAAAAAAGTTATTGTACATTTTTACTACCCTCCCCCTTACACACACACGCGCGGGCGCCTTACCCAGAATAACAACAACATAAAATATTTCTCTTAACCCGAAATCAACCTATGATAGACTATTAGTCAACGGATATACTTCTGGTCATATCTCTAGATCTCCCTTGAATCAGAAATGATGATATAAATATTTTAAGAATGATTAAGAGTTGACAAGGTTGTGCATTTTAAAATTCACTAAGTTCTGTGGTTGAATTAGCTATACCAGTTTAGCTTATTCTGCTACTCAAAGCACCTTGATTAACTATTTTAATCATACTGTTTTCTGAAATGTGAAGTTTTTTCAACATGGATACAAGTCGTACCTTTTCAGCTTCTGAAAACAATGCATGAAAAAAAACTGCTTTTCAAATACTGTAACTCTATCCAAGTACTTGTGATCATCAGTTTTTAGCTCACTTGAGTTTTTCTGGTTTTCTGATCACATTTTGTTTGTCATCCATCTCTGCGCCTGTAAACTGTAAACGGGGTCTACTGTGAAAAATGTAAGAGGAGTTCAGGGAATCAGGGGCTTTTTGCATAAAAAACGTCATTTTTCGACCCTCATTTGACCCCCAGGGTGAAAATGAAAATTCCAAAACCTTACTGCACATCTACATGACACCACCAACCATCTCCCAAAAGATGATTAGGCTACTATGTAAAATGTAGGAGGAGTTTGAGAAAGAAGAGTGTGACTGACGGACGGACGGACGAACGGATCTCGCTGGAAATAACGAAATTAAAAAATGTATGAAATAAAATTCCTGCGTGGTATGCAGATCAGATTCATTTGCGATTTACAAAGAAGGGGGGGGGGGATGCAGTCTGAAATCACAACTACAGTGTACACTTTTATGAACACAGAAGTGCATTTGCGTTGGTTAGCTGGTCAATTTCAAATTTCAAACAGAAACCCTTGTCCAAGGCTTTGTGCAATCAGATATTTTTCAGGAGTAAAAAAAGCGACGTTATTATTTATTTTCATTTTGATATTATGCTGACACGTGTACATAAGTTATTTCAGAAGTTATAAGTAATTGATTTTGACGAACAGTCATTTTAATATATGGTTAGCAATTTTTAAATCAAAAAATATTTTAATCTTCATTAATTGTCAATTTAAATCAGGTGTTGATGAATTCAATCAATTACGAGTCAAAACACAAAGGGATCTGAAAACTGCAGTAAAAACACTGGTATTTGCGTCTTTATAATTGGATCATTTAAATAGATCCGCTTGAGGCCATTTGTTGGGTGACACACGCCGTTATCTCTAATTAGGGAGAAGTTTAATTATTATTGGAAAAAAAAAAATTAGAGAATGAAGTTATTATTCTGTGAATTCTTCTTTAGATTGTTTACACAAGGATATACATATAAGATATACATGTTTATATATGTACGTGCTTAATATAATGTAGTACCTTAAGTTTATTATACCCTCATTCTTTTAATGCAATTTCATTCTTAAATGCACGTTAAGTATGGGGTGACAAATTTCCCTGGAAATTTGTGACCACATTCATGGCGTAATTTAATCCAACACAGAAAGCTACTGAATAATTGACCAGAAAATTTACACATTAAGACATCCCTAGTATAAACACACCATGTTTCCAAAATTCAGAGTAAACATACTATGCAGCACTGATACTTTACCAGAAGCATGTTTTATACAAACTTTTAACTAATTTTGTTTAAAATTATTACAGAGCTTGATAATGATGCAGATGATGATGATGACCCATTTGAGTTGAAAAGTAAAAAAGGTAAGTACCTCTGTCAGTGAATGTTGACCGTTCACGGTAGCTCAGTCGGTAGAGCGTTCGCTCCGTGATCGGGAGGTCGTGAGTTCGAATCTCGGCCGCGACTGACCTAAGTCGATAAAAAATGGGTAGCAACTGTTCCTTCGCCATGCGCTCGGCACTTTGAAGTGAAAGTTGCGGGTCCTTCGGATGAGACCTTAAAAACCGAGGCCCCGTGTCACGGCAGGTGTTGGCACGATAAAGATCCCTCACTGCTCAATGGCCCTGAGTGCCGAGTAAAGGTCAAAATTTGAAGCCCTTCACCGGTATATGGTGACGTCTCTATATGAGTGAAAAATTCTCGAATGAGACGTAAAACAATACACAATCAATCAATCAATCAGTGAATGTTTTTAAAGTCAAATGGTTTACCAATACAAACAAAAATCACAATGAATTCTCTTCTGCATGCAGTACAGACAGCAATTTAGAATTGTAATTTTTGCATCATATCTTGCATAGCCTATTATAAGTATTTGTTAATATATTCAGATTTGTAGGAAAACTCTTACACAACTTGTAAGCTAAACCCTTAGTTCCAATAAATTCTTGTTTGCATAAATTACAGAGAACCGTCTGGAGGTGGAAACTGATGAGAATCCTGTTACAGCACATGAGTATGTTCCACAGAACAACGAGGACCTTGTTGCATCATATCTTGCAAAGTCTAGCACAGGTATTTGTTACTATACTCTGAATTGTATGAGAACTCTTGCACAACTGTGCAGTGGCCGATGAAGCAACAGCCATAAAATGCACGATATATGACAACACAAAATTCGCAAGATTCATGGAGGGGAGTTCTGTCATTCTAAGAAATTTCATCAAAAAAGTGGATTCTATTGCAGTCACCACAACCACTAAGCTATTTCCTTGCAATGATGTGAATGTGCCTCAAGACATCAGCAACAGAGCACGAATCCTACTGAACCTTCCATCTGCTCCCACAAAGCCAGTGAGTGAGGCTCTGAACTCCCCTCCAAGAGTCAGAGTGTCCATTAAGGGGAGAATCATGCAGGCAAGTCTAATTGACTTATTCATTCAGCTCCTTCTCATTTCAGAAGACTGAGGTGTCTCTAAATAATGTTTCCTTGCTCTCTCCCAACTCAGGGGATTTATACTCTGTCCAACAAGGGAAATCAACTAAAATATCTTTTAAAGATGGCCTTACTTTGTTCATAACATTTCACTTTCTTCAAATTTATAGGTTAAACTAATCAAAAAATGTTATGTGGAAATCAAGTATGACATATTTCTATACTATTACAAATACATATTTCACAATTTCTATATCACCCTCATCAAAAATAAAACTTCAATAACTTTCCCATTAATGTAGGAGGAAGCCACAAGAGAGGTGTTTGTAAAGGAGGAAAGAGTAAAAGTCAAGAACATCTATATTGAAGACTCCACCAGCAAATGCAAAGTTGCACTATGGCACAACTTTGCAGAAAAGGACATTCGTCCTGGAGACTATGTCCAGATCACAGATGTTGTGACCAACACATTCAGAAATGAAGTGTCCCTCACCACCACTGCAAAAAGCAAAATCACTGTAAGTTTACATTCAGTCTTAACACGTCACTTCCTCGTAATGCCTAAATATCTATACTTTTATACAAAATATGAAATACAAACAGATGTTTTTATGTTTAAGAAGACAGATTGCCCTGCGGAGGTTAAGATATATCAGGCAATTTCTGGGTATTTGGATGGAGATGACGTTACCTTCCTACTGCAGGATGACAGTATTCTCAGCATACCCTATGAATTGGTGGAAGTTGCACTGCCAGACGTAAAGAAAAATGACCTTGACAGGGGCGTAGCTTCCATTGTGGCAATGAGGCAACTGCCTCACTAGATTTTTCACCACCACCATCCCTTCCCATAATCAACAATACGTTGCAGATTATATGTAAAATTAATGGCATTTCTTTTAACATTTTAAGCAGTTCTATAATGTTGAAGTTTTAAAGAAATAAAAGTTTAATAAGATGCGCTTTCACCTTTAAATGCTTCAAAAGTTTTAGTAAACATATTCATTAACTCTTTTACATTCTTTTACAATATGTAGTATCATGCTGAAGTCTTGAATAAAGAAACCAGTACAACAAATGAAATTTTATTGCATTTTAAAAACCCCAACTCCATTTCTGTCGGAGTCCCCCCCCCCTTCCCATGACACCACCCGGAACCTGCTGGGGGCTTAAGGCGGCCCCAGACCTCTTGCTGCTACATGTATGGTTTTGCCTCACTAGAATTTAAAGTCAAGCTACGCCCCTGCTTGAAAGCCACATTCTCGGAAAGTGCAAACCAACAGTTTCTTTGAGATGTACTTCAAAGGGCAGCAAGTTTACAAGTGTTGAAATAATGTAAAACATTCCCCCAGTAATTATTTCAATCATGAACAGTAAAGATATTTTGATCTTTATTGTGTTTAAGATCAGAGTTATAGGAAATAATGTTTTTTAATTCACCATATCCAAATATACCAGTATCACAGTTGACCCAGAGTTCTTATTTCGTAAAATGTGACACGGAGTGAACTCAGTTGGACACATTGAGGAATGTACACCTACATGTATATGTACATGTATTATTAAGAATGTCACTGCATGTAATCTAATTTTTTTTTCTCATAATATGCCTTAGATAGATTGTTCATAGTTGTGTTTTCCTTATCATAGTCATATGTACATGTACTCAACATTCCATATTGATGTTTAATTTTTGGAAATACTGTTCTACATCAATAATATAAGGCAGCATGTTCCTTAGCCATCACCATCTCTTTAAGACCATTTTATATACTACTGCAATTGTTACATAATGTTTTCTTGTGAAAAAATGTCATATCGTGAAACATTCTGCGATATACATGTGCAAAATACATATAATCCTATAAATTCAATTGCTAATATCATTTTCCAGCATGTTCTATTAATTACAGCTAAATAATGATGTTAAGACAATCATGATGAGCAAACATGTGACAATTTCAGACATAATCCCAACCCAAATTTTAATTTATTTACAATAGTGCCAAACAAAGATGCCAAAATGCACACCTTAGCCTTGCCATATTGTTATCAATCATATTGTTTACACTTTTACTTCTGCCATGAACAAATTGCCTCATATGACATACATTTCACCATATTAACAAGGCAATGTCCATTTCTTTTAACAATAGTGCCAAAGAAGGATGCCAAATGCAAACCTTAACCTTGCCATAATAGTTATACAGTATACTGTTTACACTTCTACTACTGTCATGAACAGATTGCCTCATATGACACATATTTCATCATATATAAAATTAAAATGACACATGAGCTAGAGTGTGATAAAAAATAAAAATGTACATATATGCCTGTTCTATTTCATCATGTATTACGATTTTCTTTGCTTAACTTTAAAATTTAATTTCCTATTTTTTCTCCATTGTTTTCACCTTATGCCAGTATTCCTGTATCACCTTCTCCACTGTGTAACACAATTGGACAAAGTTCTCCTCTTTGTAATTTGTGACACTGAGTGAACTCAATTTGAAGCATTCACAAATGATTGCCTTATACAGGTACATGTATATGAACATGTATTATTAAGAATGTCACTGTTTGTAATATAGGTTTTTTTTCTCATACTATGCCTTAGATAGATGGTTCATTGTGTTATCCTTATCAAAATTATATGTACATGTATTTCACATTTTATACTGTTGTTTAATTTTTGCAAATCCTGTTTTAAATCAAAATTCAAGGCAGCATGTTCCTGAGCATTTTCCATTTATGTTTAAGACCACTTATATACCGTGCATATTACATAATGTTCCCCTGTGAAAAAAACACTGTACATGTTGACTAGTTTCTTTGCTTCCGGGTAAGGTATTCGTTTCTCAGCTTTTACCTTTTGAATTTCTTTTTCTTTTTTCCATATAGGACATTGTTTAGAGGAAGCCATATGGTTACCTTTGCAGTTCTCGCATTTAGGATCTTGTTGACAACCTTTGCCATCATGTCCCTCTTCACCAGACCTGAAACACGTTTCTATGCCTTTACAATTGTTTTGTCCGTGTCCAAATCGCTGGCATTTAAAACACCGAAGCGGATTTGGAACGAATTCAATTTTCATTTGGTACAATCAGACTTTGATGTTCGTAGGAAGGATTAAGGATTGGCATTCCAAAGGTAAGAAGGTAAGTATTTGTAGGTTCAATGATGTCATTACGTTTCTTGGTGAACCGTTTTACAGAGACCACACCCTGGGACTCCAATTCATTTTGGATTTCCTTTTCAGAAATATCATCCAGGTCATGATCTCTGTCAAATAGAATACCCTTACTTTGGTTGAGTCCACTATGAACTTTTGCAAGTACAGGTATATCTGCAAGTGATTTCAACGCTAACAAAGAAGTTGAATGCTGAAATTATGCTACTTCAATGAGTAAAGCTCCTGATTTCATTTTTTTAACGGATTTCGGCGTACCAATAATTCCCTGTATTCCTTTTTGTATAAGAAAAGGCGAATTTTTTGTCAAAGGCTTTGTATGTTGATCTGAGATTTGTGCCTCAAGTGTGACGAAGCGGGGCCAGTGTTCCACAACCGAATTGATTTGTTCATCATTAAAAGATATTTCCAAACCTGGTGGGTAACAACGTTTTTTTGAAAGAGCCATGGTTAAAGGAGGAATTTTCAGAATCCTTGCTCCCCGCCCGCCTCGGAGCGCCAACAAGGGCGATATCTAGTCCAACGGAAATCCAGTAAGACTAACACCCAGAGGATACAAAGAAACTATACTCAGACATGATATGCCTGATTGACCCTGAGCCACCGCTTGATGTATATATATCAACATGGAAACGTCGGTGTATTGGAAATTGCAAAATGGATCTGATATAAAATTATAATAATTGCAAAACATCAATACTTAGGCATGCAGATATTACCAGCTCGGCATGACTAGCCGTCGCCCGCGTGGCGCAGTGGTAAGAGCGTCTGCTCTAGAGTCGCGGCGTAAGGAATTCGAATCCCACTGTGGGACGTGGAGACCGGTCCTTCGGATGAGACCGTATAAACCGAGGTCCCGTGTCGCAGTAGGTGCTGGCACGAAAAAGATCCCTCACTGCTCAATGGCCGTAAGTGCCGAGTATAGGACAAAATTTGCAGCTCTCCACCGGCAAGTGGTGGCGTCTCCATATGAGTGAAAAATTCTCGAGAGGGACGTTAAACAACAAACAAACAAACATGACTAGCCGATTGATCAAGTCGGGCCAAACTTGACCTCCCGTCTAGATGAATATGGGGCCAAAGTGGAGTGTTGGTCATGTCAGGTGCGTTACACCCAGCACCTGCAGACCTCAGCCACCAGGATCTCCTTCTCCACCAACACGGGTCGCAACCCACGGCCAACAGGTTGCCCCATTTAGTCGCCTTTTACGACATGAATGGAGGTGCCGGGGACCTATTCTTGTCACCCCGGGTCCCCACGGGGGAAATCTTGCGTTGAAAACGTTTGTTTTTTATGTGTGTGTATTTTTGTTAGGCTGTGTGCACCACGGATGTCCGGATTGCTTCCAGCAGAATCGATCTGATGTCAAACACCCTGCGACGAACTAGACATTAGACGAAATCTTCAAGATGACCAAAAAGCGAGAAAGAGACTCAAAGAGCTCGGATACGATCTGGTCGTCGTATGGGAGCACCAGTTTCGCTACCAGCTGGAGAAAAACGCCGACTTGCAACAATTTATCAACACTCTGGATCTGCAAGACAGGCTAGATCCCCGAGACAGTTTCTTTGGCGGACGCACCAATGCTATAAAACTCCATTATAAAGCTAAAGATGACGAAACCATTCAGTATTACGATTTCACCAGTCTCTATCCTTCAACAAATAAATACTGTCGTTATCCCGTGGGTCATCCGACCATTATCACGGAGGATTTTCAGGATATATCGAACTATTTCGGTCTTGCTAAAATTAAAGTCTACAAAATTGTACCACCCTGTGCTTCCGTAGCGGTCTCAAGGAAAACTGAAATTTCCTTTGTGTCGAACTTGTGCGGACGCTGAAAATCAGCATGCCTGTACTTGTTCTGTAGAGGAAGGAGCCATCACGGGCACGTGATGTACTCCCGAAATCCAAATGGCAGTATCAAAAGGGTACCAAATTTTAAAAATTTACGAGGTCTATCACTTTGAGCAATCGACTCAGTATGACCCAACTTTGGATGACGGGGGTCTGTTTGCAAAGTATGTTAATACGTTCCTTAAGATTAAACAAGAAGCCTCGGGATTTCCTCCCGAGTGTGCAAGTGAAGAGTCAAAAAGAGAATATATTAGACAATACAAAGAAAAAGAGGGCATAAACTTAGAGTACGACAAAATTAAAAAAAATCAGCCAAGCTCTGTCTCAATAGTTTTGGTGGAAAATTTGGTAAGAGACTAAGCATGAAGCAATCAATTTTCTTTCACGAATCCGAATGTGATAATTTTTTTCAGATTCTCTCGGATCCTACTAAAGTCCCTCACAATTTTCACATTGTTTCCAAGGACACCCTTCAATTTGAATGAAGTAATCACTCCATGTTTTATACCTCCGGATTGCAAAACAAACATATTTTTGGCAAGTTTCACTACTGCACATGCGCGGCTGCGTTTATATAGTGTATTAGATCGGTTGGGGGAAGACGTTCTGTATTTCGATACGGAAAGTGTCATTTTCAAAACCCAAAAGTCGGACGACTAGCAATATCTACTCATTATAAACTATTTAGTGGAATTGACCAACGAGATCAAACCAGAAGATGGTTACATTGTAGAATTCGTGTCGGGGGTCCCAAAAATTATGCATACCGCAGTTTCTGGTAAGAATGTAAAGTTCGTGGGTTTACATTAAACTGGGCTAATTCTAAAGTGATTAATTTCGATGCTATCAAATCCTTGATCTGTACAACACCAGATAAGCGAATTGAAATCATCAACCCCTGTAAAATATCAAGGGACAGTCGGAAAAGAAAGCTGTTAAACCGCATAGAAACTAAACGATATCAAATGGTTTACACCAAAAGGAGAATTTTACCCAATTTAGATACACTACCATTTGGATTTTGTTAAAAACCATGAAAAATTTTAAAAAAAAAAAGTACATTTTTACACCAATTTTTATTTTAATAGTCACAATTATTGTATTTATTATCATTCATAATATACATTACATTATGTACAATAAAAGTTGTTTTTACAAGAACAGTCTTTTTTTCTCTCTCTCTCTAAATTTAACACTCGGTACGTAAGCCAAGAAATGTGTCTCTTGCGTCGTTTCATGGACACACCAGGAGGTTTTCCTATTGTTTGAGTTTTACTGACATAACC